TTCTTCTTATGAGTGGGGGAATTTTTTATTTCGCACAGTCCATTTTCTTGTAAAGGGCAAATTTTCTGCTTAGCATTTTGAGGGAGCAAATTAAGAATTTTCTTTCTCAAAGGGCAATGGCGTTAAAAACACATCACCCGGAATGAAAGGGGTTAAATACTTATGAGTCATTTGGGTTTAGGATACGAGGAATAGAAAAGGGGCCCCGAAAGCTCCTGTGGGCACTAATATTCAAGGAAAACCCCACGGCTTTTATAGGCAATTCGGCCAACAAGTGTTTAGTAGGTAAAATAAAATGCTAAAAAATTTAGTTTAATAAACAAAAAAATTTCCCTCTCCCAAAAAATATCACTTCAGTGTTTGGTTTACGGGGACCAAAGAAACCTTTAAAAAAATTTGAGGGTATCTTTCCCAACTTTGTCGAAGGTTTGCAACGCTAAAAAAAAATTTTATTTGACTTTGTTTTTTCTAGTAAATACTATTTTAGAATAAGTGGACCCCCGGTTATTTGGCCCCGGTTGTTATCAGCAGTTTTCGGCGCCCGGTTATCAGCCGTTAATTCGGTTTCGGTAAAAGGGGGGGCCCTGCCGTGGGGACTTGTGAGTCGTTTTGGTTTGTCTCGGGGAGTGAGGAAACTTTGTCATTCATCCAAAAATTTTGCTTAAACCATTGTTTTTTTGTGGTTATTGATTTTGTGCAATGCAAATAAAAACCTGGCCCAAGAAACCTTACCTAGTTATAAAAACTGAAAGGGTTTTTATGGTTGTATATTTAATAATAATCACTGGTACATTAAATGTCTTATTTTACATTAATATAGACATTTTCATTAATCCATCTGTCTTCTTCAAAATTATATAAGAAACACGTTAAATAGCATATAAACACGTAATGTTTATTATATGCGATGTACATTTAACCCTTTGAGGGTTTTCGTCGTACTAGTACGTCTTACGCGTAGGGGTTTTTGACGTACTAGTACGCATAAATTCTAGCGGCCTCAAATCTAGTGGGAGAAAGCTGGTAGGCCTTCATATGAAAGAATGGGTCTATGTGGTCAGTGTGCACAGTCTAAAAAAAATCCTGCAGCACACAGTGCATAATGAGAAAAAAAAAACTTTGACCCTTTTTTTGGAATAAATCAGCGACTTTGCAGTGTATTTTCGTATGGTATTTATTGTTGTATTCTAGTTTTCTTGGTCTCATTTTATAGAATGGAAGACATATTACAGAAATTGAGATGATTTTGGCTGGTTTTACAATGAAAGGTGCTTGAAATTGAGCTCAAAGTAGCAGAAATGTTCGATTTTTACCAAACTTCAAAAGTAAACAAATCGTGCCAAGCGTGCAATACACGTCAACTGGTGAGGTCTAATATTCTTTCACAAGTGCACCAATAATATTTATACCAATTTTTTACACTAATGCAGTAGTCTGCATAACAGTAAATTTATATTTTTTGTGAGAAAAAAAAAATTCAAAATGGAAAGCAAAAGAATATAAGAGGGGCTGAGACGTTATAATGACTAGAGGAAATGTCATTTTAGTGCCAGAATGTCTTTCTTGTTTATTCTGGACCCTATTCGGAAATTGGCATCTTTTGAAATTTGTGTGAAATTGGCAAAATTGCTAAATTCTGACCACTGTACTGGATAGTTGAATTTCATAAATGGGTGGTTCTTGCACCCATTCGATAGAAAAAAATGGAGTTCTAGCGAAATATTCATGTTTTTTGTCGACTAGTACAGCGAAATTGGCCGAAAATGGGGCTCAAAGTGGGCAAAATCGCCGATGCGTAAACATCGCCGAGACCGTTAACTTTGCGAGAGCATAATTTCGTAAGTTTTCCATCAAATTTCAAACTTTTGGTGTCTTTATGATCGGGAAAAGATTCTCTATCTTTTCATAAGAAAAAATAATTTTTTTTTTTTTTTAAATTTGGCCGACCCTGAGAACGAGTTTCGGAGAGGGCCTGTCGACCCTCAAAGGGTTAATAATCACTCTGCCACATTAAATGTCTTATTTTACGTTAATATAAACATTTTCATTAATGTACCTATGATATTTTTTCAAAATTATATAAGAAACACATTACATATCATGTAGCATATAAACATGCAAAGTTTATATGTTATCAAGTGGAGAGTGGGATGGAGAGTAAACATTACATTTTCTCTGATGCAGCATTAAAGAAAACTGTGAATCTGGCGACTGGTGCAGTAACCGCCCTTCATATGTGTATGTTTACAATTCTCGGCATGAATTATTCATTACTTCTCCCTTTGTTTATGATGGCATCTAAAGGTAGTTCTTTGAAATGATTAAACTCAGTGAATATGGTAATAATATGGCTGTGTAGTGTAATAATATGGCTGTGTAGTGTAATAATATGGCTGTGTAGTGTAATAATATAGCTGTGTAGTGTAATAATATGGCTGTGTAGTGTAATAATATGGCTGTGTAGTGTAATAATATAGCTGTGTAGTGTAATAATATGGCTATGTAGTGTAATAATATGGCTGTGTAGTGTAATAATATGGCTATGTAGTGTAATAATATGGCTGTGTAGTGTAATAATATGGCTATGTAGTGTAATAATATGGCTGTGTAGTGTAATAATATGGCTGTGTAGTGTAATAATATGGCTATGTAGTGTAATAATATGGCTGTGTAGTGTAATAATATAGCTGTGTACTGTACCCCAAGGGGGGGGCTAAATACGTGTATTGTACCTACATCTACCGCTACCTACACTGACTTCCTACAAATAAATACTACTCACCTCTTGCCCTACATTAAGACCACAAATATTTTAAGGTAAGTAATGAATATACTGTAGCAGTAAATGACAGATTAAAGAGGTGTGTACAATGTGGACTAGGGTGCAATCTTTTGTAGAGAAACACCACCCTGACCAAGCTCAAACAAGCCATATTTGCAACATGTTCAGTGACAAAACCCTGTCCCACTTCAGGGAAATCTTAAAGAGATGGCAGAAACAGACCTCTATGGACAGATTTGTTGTGAGACAGGAGTCCAGTGACTCTCAAGCTGGTCCTAGTGCCATTAAAAGACAAAGAAGGGAAGTAACCCCAGAGAAGGCTTTGCTACCTAAAGTCTTTATGGAGGGGGATTCCTCTTCCAAACACTAACTCCTCCCTCTTTCCTCTTCCCTATCTTCCAGAAGCCAGCATTAGCCTTCAATAAAGGTATGTAATACTTACATAATTATTAAAAAAAAAAAATTTTTCTGACTATTTTTGTCTGGAACGGATTAATTGTATTTCCATTAATTCTTATAGGAAATATTAACCCTTTGAGGGTCGACAGGCCCTCTCCGAGACTCGTTCTCAGGATCGGCCAAATTTAAAAATATAAAAAATTATTTTTTCTTATGAAAAGATAATCTTTTCCCGATCATAATGACACCAAAAGCACGAAATTTGATGGAAAACTTACAGAATTATGCTCTCGTGAAGTTAGCGGTCTTGGCAATGTTTACGCATCGGCGACTTTGCCCACTTTCAGCCCCATTTTCGGCCAATTCCACTGTACTAGTCGACAAAAAACATGAATATTTCACTATAACTCCATTTTTTCTATCGAATGAGTGTAAGAAACCACCCATTTACCAATTTCAACTATCCAGTACAGTGGTCAGAATTTAGCAATTTTGCCAATTTCACACAAATTTCAAAAGATGCCAATTTCCAAATAGGGTCCAGAATAAACAAGAAAGACATTCCTGGCACTAAAATGCCATTTCCTCTGTTCATTAGTCACGTCTCAAGGCCCCTCTTACATTCTTTTGCTTTCCACTTTGAATTTTTATTCTCACAAAAAATAGAAGATTTACTGTTATGCAGACTACTGCATTAGTGTAAAAAATGGTATAAATAATATTGGCGCACTTGCAAAAGAATATTAGAGTATTAGAGTATTGGACGCTTGGCATGATTTGTTTACTTTTGAACTTTGGTAAAAATCGAACATTTCTGCTACTTTGAGCTCAATTTCAAGGTACTTTTCATTATAAAACCAGTCAAAATCATCTCAATTTCTGTAATATGTCTTCCATTCTATAAAATGAGACCAAGAAAACTAGAATACAACAATAAATACCATACGAAAATACAGTGCAAAGTCGCTGTTTTTTTTTTTTCCTCATTATGCACTGTGTGCTGCAGGATTTTTTTTATACTGTGCACACTGACCACATAGACCCATTCTTTCATATGTAGGCCTACCAGCTTTCTCTCACTAGATTTGAGGGCGCTAGAATTTATGAGTACTAGTACGTCAAAAACCCTGGGTAGTAAGCCGTACTAGTACGGCTGAAACCCTCAAAGGGTTAATTTGGTTTTCGGCCATTTCAGTTATCGGCCGACCTTCTGAAACGGATTACGGCCAATAGTCAAGGGTCCACTGTACTTTACTGTTATACGCAAGTAAAATTAAGATTATTATTAGCAATTCACAGCATAGTATATTATTTATATATTGTGATACTGAAGTAAAAACTAAACTGTAATAATCAATCTTGACATGACTGGGTGCAAAAATAAGAAAATTAATGTACAGTATTTATAAAGACACACTGTACAATATATTACTTCACATTCAGTTTATGCAAGAAATGTAAAATGATTAAAAAATCAAATGCACTTTTCAGAAAATTTATCATTTTTTCAGTATCTATGAAAGAATTAATAACATTCTTCCCTACAAAAAATGCTACAAGCAGATATAGCATTGTCTATATATATCAGGCTTTCTATCTAACCCTCATGGGTTTAGCACTTCTTTTTTGTGAAATACTGTATGGATATATGGTAATAAAATAATAATAATAATAATAATAATGTATACATTAAACTAGGCCAAAGTAAATACCCTTACAACATTTATATCCATATTTACAGCACTCTTTATACTGGGAATAACCATTGTGGTAAAATAAAAAAGTTTAACAAGACAAAAATACTACTTCTCTTCCATACAGTAATGGGAGTTCTTGTTAGGTAATCTGATGGGGAACGTGGGTCATAGGGCAGAACACGAGTGTGTTTGGGTGTTCCTTGTGTGTCTGGCTCCTTTGTCACCACCTTGACATGTCTGCTGATCAGCCCTCCCATGGTATTATCGAATCTGAAAATCACAAAAATAAACACATACAGTGGACCCCCGGTTTTCGGCTGTTGTGGAAATCAGCCTATTCAGAAATCGAGCACTTTTTTCAGCGAAATTTCCCCCCGATTTCGTGCATCTGCTCGGAAATCATTGGTACCAGACACATTCACCTGGGCCGCTCATACGTTCATGACTCACTCTTGGGCATGTTAAATGTCTTACTTTAAGGTTAATATAGACATTTTCATTAATCCATCTATGATATTTTCTTCAAAATTATAGAAGAAACACATTACATAGCATATAAGCATGCCTTTGTTACTCATTCACTAAGAGTCTCCCTCTAGTCTTAATGCCATAGTTATAATACAGTGGACCCCCGCATAACGATGGCATCACATAGCGATTTTTCCGCATACCGATTACTTTTATCGCAAAATTTTTGCCGCGCATACCGATTAAAAACCCGCTTACCGATTTTCGTCCGAGACGCGTCCAATGTGCCCTCACATGTGCCGCCCGTCCCATTGTTTACCAGCCAGCCTCCGCGGTAACATCCAAGCATACACTCGGAATATTTCGTATTATTACAGTGTTTTCGGTGCTGTTTCTGGAAAATAAGTGACCATGGGCCCCAAGAAAGCTTCTAGTGCCAACCCTGTGGTAAAAAGGGTGAGAATTAGTATGGAAATTAAGAAAGATTTTGAAGGGTTTGGGGCTAACCTGAGAAGCCTATGCCAGTTGTGGAATCCATTGTGCCTACTTCAAAGATTAAGGAAATGTGTGCACAGTGGGTTGAACTGCAAACTTTATAGATGAAAATCACCCTGACACAGCTGTTGCAAGCCGTGATGGTGGACTATTTCAACGACAATGTTGTGGCCCATTTTAGACAAATCGTAAAGGAACGGGAGGTACAGAGCTCTATGGACAGATTTGTTGTGCGACAGAGGTCCAGTGACTCTCAAGCTGGTCCTAGTGGCATTAAAAAAGAAGGGAAGTAACCCCAGAAAGGACTTACTACCTCAAGTCCTAATGGAAGGGGATTCCCCTTCTAAACAGTAAGAAGATAATGTCCTCCCCTCCTCCCATCCCATCAATCATCACCAGATCTTCAATAAAAGTAAGTGTCATTTAATTGTGCATGCCTTTTTCAGTTTGTGTGTATTAAAATTAACATTTCATGTGGTAAAAAAAATTTTTTTTCATACTTTTGGGCGTCTTGCACGGATTAATTTTATTTCCATTATTTCTTATGGGGAAAATTCATTCGCATAACGATTATTTCGCATAACGATGAGCCCTCTTGCACGGATTAAAATCGTTAACCGGGGGTCCACTGTACTAACACATAATAATAATCACTCTTGGGCACATCAAATGTCTTATTTTAGGTCAATACAGTAGGGCCCCGCTTTACAGCGTTTTGCCTTATGGCGTTCTGCTAATACAGCGATTTCAAATTATGACCAAAACTTTCTATACAGCGAGCGGTCTTTCAAATACGGCGCGCGCCACCCAGTTTGTTTACATTCTCTGTGAGCACATCTATTATGTCTGGAAACTTTCCAAAATTTCCAGTTTTTTAAAGTTATTGCATATTTTGTGTGTGTTCTGATAATAATACTTGTATACCTGTACCTCAATATACTTACACATTGTGTTGGCATGCAGGTACACATTAAAATCACTAAGTGTGTCCCTCTAGTCTTAACGCCATAGTAATACAGTGGACCCTTGACCAATGATATTAATCCAATCCAGAGAGCTTATCTTTAGGTGAATTTATCGTTATTCGAATTAATTTTCCCCATAAGAAATAATGGAAATCCAATTACAGTGTAATACGTTCCAGACAGCCAAAAGCATTAAATTTTTTTTTTTTTCATGAAATATACATTTCCCTACAAAGAAAACAATGAGACATGCACAATAACTACATAAATAAATGCCACTTACCTTTATTGAAGAGTATTGATGAGTGATGAGACAGTTTCTCTTGAACACTCTGGGATTTTCAGAGTGATACATGAGTAAAGGCTTCACTTTGCAATCCCCACCACTAGCATTACAACAATCCCCACTAGCATTACAACAATCCCCACTAGCATTACAACAAAACATGAGAGTTAGCCTGTCTTTCACAGGCGTGTGTCCTAGGAGTGCCTTTTCCTCCTGAGTAATGTAGGTCTTGTTTGGCATTTTCTTCCAAAACAGGCCTGTTTCATCACAACTGAACAATTGTTGGGGTTGGAATTGTTCAGCTTCACCATGCCTTATCACACTGTGTATGCCACTACGATTCTTAAATCTCTCAAACCAACCTTTGCTGGCCTTAAATTCACCAATAAGAGCACTAGTTCCAAGCATTTTTTCCTGTTCACCTGGGTGTTAGTGGACTGCTGTCGGCTGCATCCTGGGGGACAAGATTAAGGGCCCCAATGGAAATAAGCTACACAGTCCTTGATGATGCACTGACTTTCTTGGGTTATCCTGGGTGGCTAACCCTCTGGGGTTAATTGTTTCTTGGTAATTGTTTCTCATTAAGCCACACCAAAAACAGTCTCTCCACTTCTTCGAGTAGTACAGCTGATGGTGGTGGAGCAACAGCTGACAGTGGTGCAGCAACAGCTGACAGTGGTGCAGCAGCAACAACAGCTGAAGGTGGTGCAGCAATAGCAACAGCTGACGGTGGTGCAGCAGCAGCTGACCATCGTACGATGGTATTTCAATAGTATTTCTCACCCTTTTTACCACAGGGTTGGCACTAGAAGCTTTCTTTGGGCCCATGGTGGCTTATTTAGCAGTTACAAGCACTAAAAACAATGGAATAATACAAAATTTATCGAATACATATATGCGTGGAACCGTCCACCCTGGCTTGTAAACAATGAGGGCAGGGCAGCTGAGGCGCTCAGGCTGGACGGACAGGTTCTGGATGAATCATGTTGGTCGAGTTTTTCATCATTGGTCGGGCCAAAATTTTTACGCTCAAACGCTTCGTTGGATGAATTTATCATTAGACAATGCCTTCGTTGACCGAGGGTCCACTCTACTACGTAATAATAATCTCTTGGGCACATTAAATATCTTATTTTAGGTTAATATAGATATTTTCATTAATCTATCTATGATATTTTCTTCAAAAATTATATAAGAAACACGTTACATAGCATATAGCACATAAACATGCAATATTTATATGCTATTGAGCAGCGAGTTGGATGGAGGGTAAACATTACGTTTTCTCTGGTCGAGTGTTTTAGTAAACTGTGAATTTGGCATCTGGCCCAGTCACTGCCCTTAATAAACACGCGATTGTTTACAATTCTCAGCATGAATTATTCATTACTTCTCCCTTTGTTTATGATGGCATCTAAAAGTAGTTGTTAGAAACAATTAAACTCAGTGAACATGGTTTGTCGATGGTAATAATATGGCAGTGTTCTGCAGTGTAGGTAGCCAGTAGGTGTAGCCCAGGGGGACTACATATGTGTACCTAAATCTACTGGCTACCTACACTGACTTCCTACAAATAAATACTACTCACTTCTTGCCCTACATTAAGACTATAAATATTTAAAGGTAAGTAATGAATGTACTAACCACTGAAGAGCTGCAACACTATAGTTATCCTCTCTAAAATTTATTTTTTGTTAATATTTTTGGGTGTCTGAAAGGGATTAATTGGATTTACATTATTTCTTATAGGAAATATTACTTTGGTTTTCGGCCATTTCAGATTTAGGCCAACCTTCTGGAACAGATTAATTACGAAAACCAGGGGTCTACTGTATATTAATATCAATTACATTTTATTTTAAATACAAACTAGCTGCAGAAGAAACAAGGAACTACTTCCACAACTTTGGGTGGTCTCGTGCATGCAGCAAATGAGAATCATAGCACTGAAATCAATATGGTATGATTACTGACATATCTAGGTACTTTAGTACATTTTCTGTGTGAATGCACTTCAGTTTAGAAGACTAGTTAAAATTAAGTTATGAAGTATATATGTATTATCCCCACAGTACAGAGCAACAGTGCTTGCCCCTACTTTTATGAGCACCATGGCTCAGTATTACAGTATCGTCTTTGGACCACTATTAACCCACAAGAAAGTCAAGCTGTATGAACTACATCCATTGAAATACTTTGGTCCTCTTTCCATGGATGTGACCTAAAACAAACACCTTGGTATCTATTTACTGCAGGTGTACAGAAACTTGTCCATGTGTCCAAACTCACCCGAGATTTAACTTGGATCCTTTCAAGTAGTATAAGTATTCTACTACTGAGCAATGGGTCACCTGAAAAATTACATGATAAATTTTACCATTAAATAAGGATATGGGTAAGTTAATAATATGATCAGTATAGTTGTAAATGAAATTCAATATGGACAAATGCAAATTTCTTATAATGGAAGAAAAAAATCTGAAATAAATTGTGCGTGCACACACATGCACACACACACACACACAGCTTGGCAAGATAATGAAGGTGAGGATAGCTGAAGAGAGCAGAAAGTGGGGGGGCTACAAGTCTTAGCAGCAGAAGCTAGGATACAGTGCTTAGAAGAAGAACTAAAAATCCTAAAACAGATTACAGAGACAAATGACAATACAGATGTGACATCAGGAACTTCTATGTCAGGCACAGACACGGGGACAGTAGGAAACAAAGGATATGCCATATGCGAAGGCCCTATCAGACCCAGGTGGGGCCAAGGAAAAGACGAGGAGCACACTAAGATCAAATGACAGGTCTGAAGACAATGAAGGTATGCTATATGCAGAGACTAACAGCCAACTGCAGCAGCAAGGACAGGACAGGGATTGAAGGGAAGAACATTTCAATGGAAGGAACTAAAACACCTCAAGAGGATGCAAAGGGAGACACAGTGGGAGGAGGAAAGTGAGAGGTCAGCTTTTGTCTACGGGCTCCAAGAAGTTGAAGGGGAAACCTACAATGAAAAAAAACAGGAGGAAAAAGCGATCGAAGGCATCATGAAAACAATAGGTGAGGGTGACATGACCCAGGTGACAAATTTTCGGAGAATTGGGTGGTTTGCGAGTGGAAGGAAACAGCCTGTCAATGTAATTTTCAAGGAAGAATCAGCTCGAACCAGGATCCTGCAAGAGAAAGCATGACTGAGGGACAAACCGGAGTACCGGAGAGTATACCTCGATCGTGACAGAACACAAGAAGAAAGGACAATACTGAAAGAGAGGGTACAAAGGCGCAAGGAGGAACGAGAGGCAATGATGAAGATGACCAGGACCCAGACCCAGGAGGAAGGGCAAACATCCCCCCAGAAACTCCCACAGAAGGACTCCAACCGCGACAACCCCAACGCAACTGAGCAATCTAACCCAAAGCCCACACACTGTTCCCTCTGCTGTCATGTTCAATTGTCGTGTACTTTGCCATTGTATAGAATCAGCCCAAGCCGTACGCCTGCCATCTCTAGTTTGTATTAGCTGTATGTCGGGACGACATACATTAGCGTCACCAAACTCTCAGTAGTATCAGTTCCCAGTAGTACCAGTAACCAGTTACCAGTACTATGACTCACTACCAATTGTCTCCGTGAATCACTGACTGTTATTCATGTTGCTGCTGACCATAGCATGTTTTGAATGCCGCTCACCCCTACGACCCAATTGTGGTTTAGTTTAAGATAGAGAGCAGAGGCGCAGGGCGGCACAGCTTCTTCCCATACTTTCCGTTATAATTATACATACTAACCAGCCTACATGAGAGTTCTTACCCAATCCACGTTATCGAACCCCCACATGACACTGCCATCAACCCCACACCACAAACCCCACCCCTACAGCTGCCCCATGGGCATTCTGACCCCCCCCCCATCACAAACCCCACCCACACCACAACCCCCTAGGCCCCCACCAGGGCTCCCACTCTCCCAATCCCAATATTCTCCCAGGACCACAGCGATAGAAAAGAAGCTGAAGGTTTGGTTCACGAATCCCGGACAGATAATGAATAAATATGAGGAGTGGCACGAAAGAATCAGTGAGAAATCCCCAGACATCATAACAGTCACAGAAATGAAACTCACTGAAACAATAACAGACACAATCTTTCCAACGGGATATCAGATCCTGAGGAAAGATAGGAGTAGTAGAGGGGGAGGAAGGGTTGCACTGCTCATAAAAAACCGATGGGGATTTGAGGAAAGGAAGGCATGGAAGAGGTTGGAGAAAGGGACTACATAGTAGGTACAATTCAGTCTGGGAACATAAAAGTAGTCATTGGAGTGATGTTAAAACCCCCCCAGAACTGTAGCAGGGCCCGAGAGGAGACAAGAAAACAACAGAGCGATGGTCAACATACTGGTGAGGTGGCAAGAAAGCTCACTCAAGCAGAGCAAAGTTACTAGTTATGGGCAATTTCAAAAACAGGGAGATCGACGGGGAAAACTGGAGCCACATGGAGGTCCTGAAAAAATGGAGACCCAAGATGATGGATGTTGGTACGGGAAAAAACCTCATGCATCAACATGCCCAGAGACACTACCAGAGAGAGAGGGGAGGATGAACCAGAAGCCTGGACCTTTGTGTTCACCCTGAGCAATTCAGACATAGAGGGACATGACTTACGAGAGGCCCTTGGAGCTAGTGACCAAGTGACTTCAAAAGTAGTTAGGAAGTGGAAAAGCAAGCAAGTGAGTGTGGAGGCAGGAACCATAATAGCTTTAAGTGAGGTATGATGAAGTCAGGAGAGGGGATGAGGACCTGTACACTCAGTGGAAGAGGCGGGCCCCGGACCGAGTATCAAACCCCCCGCAACCCAATTAGTGAGTACACGTGTACATCGAGTTACAAAATTAATTCCCTTCCGAAGGCTGTTGAGTGCCAAAACCAAACAAATTTGTTCCCTAAGGAAAATGTAAAATTGTTTTGTCCATTTCCCCCCCCCAAAAATTTCACTTACAAAAAACTTTCAAAAAACACTTTAATAAATTTTTCAAAATTGGGGCCCGCTCGAAACTAAGGTACCCACTTATACTGTACAAAATATACTATATATATCGTGGAACCTTTGGGTTACGAAAACCCCCCCCCTGCGAACTTTTCAGGATACGAACCATGTTGGTCCCCAATTTTTTTCTTTGGTAGAACGAAAATTTTAGGTATTACTTCCCCTAAGGGAGGTTCCTTTAATAAATAAAAAAATTTATTTTTTTTGCTAAGGTTCAAAATTTTTCAAAGGGTTTCTTTAAGTTAGCAAAAGCTAGGCATTAAAAAACAATAAAAAGTAAAAAACATACCTTTTCATCATTTTTTACCTCAAAAAATTTTTAGTCTTATTGGGCAAAAAGGGGTAGTACGTTTTATTTAAAAAAAGTCAGGTGTGGGAAGATGGGAGCTCTCCTGGACCCCACCCACATCTATACAACGAGTTTAAAAATGCTCTAGAGTATAAAAGCATTACAGACATCATTTCTTTAAATATCTGTTCTTTAACTTAAAGAGGGGGGATTTTAAAAGCATTTTTAAATGGGGAACCTAGCTTATGAACGCCCCACCATTAAAAATTTTCAGGATACGAACCCCTCATTCGGTCAATTTTTTGCTTCTGGGTACAACGAAATTTCAGGATGCGTACTTCCCTCAAGGAAGGGTTTCCCTTAAAAAAATAAACAAAATAAAAAATTTATTTTTGCAAAGGTTAAAGTTTTGTTTACATAAGTGGTGTATGCACCAGGAGAATAGAGTGAAATGCAGAGGAGAGAGAGAGATTTTGGGAAATGGTTAAGTGAATGCATAGGATCCTATGAAGCCAAGTGGAGAGAGAATTGTGGGTAGGATCTAATTGTTAAAAAGTATGAGAACTTTTAGAGAGGGTGTGATAGTGTAAGTTTGTGGGTGGCCAGTGTTAATGAATAATGGGAGCCCTCTGATTGAACTTTGTAAATAGAAAGTGTTTTAGTTAATGGTAATACATATTTTAAGAAAAAGATGATAATCAGTATACAATATATGATGTAGGGCGAAATGACAGTAGTTTAGTTGGATTAATAGTTGGTATATAAAAGATGGGTAGTGGTTCTTTGTGGCGGGGTGGATATTGGTGGTGGACTGTTGAGTCAGACATCCAGGATGTACATGTTGAAAAGAGGAGGCCACAGATATAATTCAGATCACATTCTAGTTGTGTACACTCGAGAGAACAAAGAGTAGAGGAATACAAGAGAATAAGAAGCATCAGGAAGAAGAGGTGAAGGTTCTAAACAAAAAGAGGAAGCAGTTAGGTAAGATAAAAACAAGCTATTGCGATAGATGGGCTATGAGAGCATAGGCAATGGGGTCGAAGAGTGTATGGGGTATGTATTTAAAATGTATTGTTAGAGTAGTTCAGCATAAGTTGTGTGGTCTAACAGTGAAATGTCGGGTTGCGGGAGGGACGTAGTGAGCGATTGGTGGAATGAATGATGTAAAAGAGAGTAGTAAGGGAGAAAAAGTTAGCATATGAGAAGTTTTATACAAAGTAGAAGTGTATGCGAATGATGAAAGTATATGGAGTAAAAATGAGAGAGTTAATGAGAGTGGTAGAAAGCAATTTAAAAAGAGAGCAAATGAAGAGTGGGGTGAAAATTGTAATAACAAATTTTTTGAAAATAAAGATCAAGTTTTTTGAGTGTAGATTAACAATTAAGGAAAGATGCCCTAGAGAACAATGGATTGAGTCAGGTTAAAAATAGGAATGAAGTTATTAAATGGAGAGATTAGAGTGTATTTGGGAAATGGAGGGAATATTTTGAAGATATTGATTAAATGTTTCTGTAATGAAGTATAGTGAAGCTGTGAATTCTGTAGGTATAGGCAATGGAGGAATATACATCTGTAGCAGTAGAGGGAAGAGCAGTTTGTTAGCTGATGGGGTGATATTCGTGAGAGCAGTATGTAAAATGAAAGGTGTGTAAGGCAGCCGGGATTGGAATGGGAAATAGGATATAAATGTATAAGACAACCTTTGACTGTCGAGCCACCCCCAATCCTAGAGAGGTGTCTCCTGGTGTCGCAACATTAAAAAAAAAAAAAAAAAAGAAATTTCTATAAGACATTATAGAGAATCTTTCCCGATTTGTAATGACAAAAACAAAAAAAACGAAATTTGGTTGGAAAACAGACTGAATATGATCTCAGCGAAGTAAGCGTTGACTCTCGCGCTGTTTACCAAATATTATTTGTTGAGTATGAGGCTATTCTTATGACTTCGGGATGTCTTTGCCACAGTTAGTCAGTCCTTGTGTTGATGAACTTTTATGATTCCAGACAGA